GGGGGTCACTGCGGGGCTGGCACCGGGTGGCCGCGGCTCCGCGCCGCTTCCTGCCGCCGCCCTTAAAGGTGCGGGGCGGCCCAGGGTGCGGGCGGGGCGTGACTTGACCTGCAGAGTCAGGTGAGTGTGGAGCCGTGCTGGGCGCCGTCGGGGCTGCGGCTCCTCGCCATCCCTTCCCAACCCGCGGGCTGTCCCGCTGTGGCGGCACCTTCCCCGGGCGGGCGTCCAGTCCCGTTCAGCCCTCGGTCTCCGCTCGGCAGCTGCCCSGGCACCGGCGGCCTCTCCCCCGCCCCKGGGCTGTGCGTCCCTTTGTCTCCTGGCGAGGGGAGCGGCCGCCCGTGCTCCCACCCGGGGTGCGGGGCTGTCTCCGTCGCGGGGCAGCCGCACAGAGCCGCTTCCACCGCCTTTAGGAGAGGCGTGAGCAGCCGCGGGTGCGTGGGGCTGGGGGTGTCTGTCAGACGCGCCCGCATCCGAGCGCTCAGTGCCCCCGCCCGAGGGGCGGATGAAGCCGGGCTTGGCTGCAGCGCTTCGGCCTAGGTGAAGGTGGGTCTGAGGCTTTTCCCTCTCCCGGTAAGCGGTGTCCCCGTTCGTGAGCTTCGGTGGACGTGTGGGTGTTGGCAGATGGAGCAGGCCTCCTGCTGCCTTCGCTGCTCACCCCTGGAGCTCCTCCGGTGATACATCTAGCCTAGACAACTCCTGGAGACTACCGTTGTGCGCCTGTTGTACGGTCACAGGGGTTCAAATATTTTCTCAAATGCCAGCCTTTACGACTGGGGTGGCCTGAACCTGCAGCTGGGGCTGGGAAGCGAGCTACTTAACGCRGGTGGACTGGGGTGCATGGACACCCCTGGTCCTGTGAGGTACCAGTGGTCCTGGGCAGTTGGGGCTTAAGTCTCCTGGATTTCTGCTGGTGGGAGCATATTTGGGACTGGCTGGGGGAACTTGTGCTACTGGATGCCACCAGCCCATCAGTTTAGGTGTGGAAACGTGACTTGCAACTGTTTCCTTATCTGTTACAATGCAAAAATGGCCAGTTTAGGTAAAAACACCTTTATCAGCTGCAAAAGCTGCCTTGCTTACTTCTTGGTGTTGAGGCGGTTTAGTGAACACTTGTCTGTCGTCTTCAGCATGCTTCCTTGGGGGTGTACAGGGAGAAGTGTTCCTTTTGCATCAGGTCCTTTGTGTTGAGAGCCTCTGGGTTTGGTKATGAACCAAGCCCCACAGCTTGTCTGACTTCTGCTTCTGATTTACCCAAGCTCCTCTCCACCTGCCCCGGGAGCTCCCTGCTGCTAATTCAGCTCTGGGTTCTGCCTTAGGATTGCTCTGGGCAGCAGGAGCTGACAGTGACATTGAGGCTATAGATTTATTGCTGAAGAAAAGGATTAATGGCCATTAAGCTGTGCCTCCAGCTCTCCTCCTGTCTATCTCCCCCAGTCTATAAGGAGATGGGAAATGCCCACTAGGATAGAAATACCAGGGGTTCTTGCTGATGCTCTCTGGCTTGTGTCAACCATGTCCTCACTCTCTCCAGGGTGAACAAAGTCTGTCTTGCCTTTCTTGGCTCTTCTGGGGAGATAGTGCTCAGCAGGCCTTGGGTGCTGAAAGGGGAGGTGGTGGCTGCTGCAGGGGGAGGTGACTGACCCCTAAAGTGTTTCACAGACCACAGAGARGGAGGACTTAGGCTCTGTCAGTCCTGTAGTTGTTCTGAGGGATGCCTTTGCTTTAGCTCCTAAAGCACATGTSACTCAACTCAGGCTTAGTCAAATTTTTCATGACCTACTGTAATTTCTACAAGCTTCTAGGAAAACAAAAGACCTGACCTGAAGTGACAACTCCATACTTTATCAGACCAGGATTTTAGGACTAGTTTCTTCCCTGCTTCACAGCTGTGTACATTCTCCTGTGATTGTCTCTAATAACTGATGCCCTACAGCTGTAGGAACAGCTGTAAGAACCTTCTGGCCTCTGATATGCAGGAGATCTTGGAGGAGTTTGGAGCAGGGGTTCAATTGGTGACTACCTGTGATCTGATTAAAGGCAAGGAGCAGCAACAGAGGTGCCTTGTGATGAAGAGCTTATATGTGTCCATATGATTCTATGGCATGTCGTGTCACTTGTGGTTTGGTCATGGCTAGGGATCACAAATGTTACAGCACTAATAACCATATGTGCAGCAGGACTGAAAAGTGTGAGAGTTCAGAAGGACATCTGCTTTACTGTAGAGCTGCTGCTTTTCCTGCCTCTGCTGTTTCTTACGTCCCCACAGAGCTGGGAGTGCATAGTGGTACCTGTGAAGTGCAGAGAGATGGGCTCTGTTTTGGATGTGAATTGCGTAGCCTCCAAAGTGATGCCATGCATATTGGGCCTGATAGGAGAATGATGCTTAGGAGAATATGGAAGAGGTTTGGCTTCTTATTTGAGTGAAGTGTTGTGGTCCCTGGGAGAAAACTGGCCCGAGAGAGAGAGTAGGCTGCCTGGGGAGAGGCCTGAGCTGGCTGGCAGTGAAAGGATGCTGAAGAGGGCTGCGCTCAGCTGGAGCTAAGAGCTGTGCAGCCACCATGAAAGCCCCTGGAGTCCAGGGGACAGAGCCACAGCCACATAGGTATCTAAAAGCTGGATAACCAGGGCAATGCAGGTTTGACCCTTTGTATTTCATGAGTGGGAACTGGCATGCAGAGGGAGGTAAGACAGGACTGGGACCAGCTCAGGCAGGGAGGAGCACTCCTTACAGCCTCTGAAATACCCACTCAGTGYTTGTGATCTGTACCTTTGGGTTGCCTCCTGCCTGGTAGCTGGCCTAGGAGGACAGCCTTTTTTGCCTTCTCTTTGGCTAATGGTGTGTGTCTGCTGAGCAGCAAGTGACATCTAGTGTTGGCTCACGCAGCAGTAGCTGTGGCTTGGGCTGGCTCTGTCACTTCCATTCCAGGTTCTGTGACAGTTTTTGGTGCATTCAATGGGTGCAGCTTCAGTGCCCTGCTCTGAGGGAGAGGGCAAGCTCTTGCCCTTTCTTCTGTTGAGCTTGAACAGCTTGTCCATGTTTTCACACAGTGTGATTCTGTCACAGGTCCCTTCCTGCACAGATGACTGATGTTTTCCCTATGAGGAAAACCCTTCTCTCTGAGTGCTGGTAGAGGAGCAGTAAAATGGAAATGATGGAACTACTGGTGGGAGAGATGGGTGTAGGGGTGATGCCAGGTGCAAAGCCAGGTATTCAGTGGTGGAAAGTGACCTGGCCTCCCACCCTACGGATACCGTCACTCTTTAGTTCCACTTAGRCTAAGTGGAGGCTGTGTGCCGTGTGTGCTGCCCACAGGAGGTCACTGGTGAGCAAGCTGAGTCCCGCTCCCAGGTCTGCCTGGTGAGGACCAAGGCTTCCTTCTTTGTCCTTGGAATGTGGACAGTGGCCTTTCCTCTACCTTTCCCCTCCCCCCACTCCCATCTGGTCCTTTGGGCAGGAGCTGGACCTGGAGGTCAGGCCTCTGGCAGTCTGGAGTGTTCACGGTCTTCATCTCCATTGACTTCTTTCTTTTTGTCATCATTCAGGATGATCCAGAGGCACCAACTGGTTCAGTCTGTGCTGCAGGAGCTACAGGAAGCCACCGAATGCTTTGGCCTGGAGGGCCTCACCAGTGCTGCACTGGAGGCAGAGAGGACCCTGTCATCTTTCTCCCTGCCTGGCTATTGTGGGAGTCAATTTCAAGAGGAGCTGGAGGTTGACCGAGTAGCCAGAAGCCTCTATCCTGAGGATGCCCCAAGTAACATGCTGCCTCTCGTTTGCAAAGGTGAAGGAAACCGCCTCTTTGAGGCTGCCAGCGTGCTGCTCTGGGGCAACCCCAGCCTCAGCCTGGAGCTGCAGGTGCGTACTGTGGTGGAGATGCTGCTGCACAAGCAATACTACTTGAATGGCATGATTGATTCCAAAGTGATGCTGCAGGCTGCCCGCTACTCCCTCTGCACTGAGGAGACCCCAGAGATGACCAGCCTCCCCATGGCTATCCTGGAAGCCATCTTTGATGCTGATATCAAAGCTACCTGTTTTCCTGGCACCTTTGCCAACATGTGGCATGTCTATGCTCTTGCCTCGGTACTGCAGTGTAACATCTACTCCATCTATCCCATGAGCAACTTGAAGATCCGACCCTATTTCAACCGGCTCATCCGGCCCAGGAAGTGTGGCCCACGAACCTCCACGCTACACATCATGTGGTCAGGGCAGCAGCTTTCCCGGCAGGTCTTCAAAGCACAGTATTTTGTGGCTGTGGTTGGCCTGGAGGAGCTGGAACCCACAACACCTTCACCAGAGCCTCCTGTCCAGCCCATGAAGACCCTTGAATTGCTGAACAGTGACCCCCAGTTGACCTACTCCAACCTGCGTGACCGGTACAGCATTACCAAGAGCACCTTCTACCGCTGGAAGCGCCAGTCTCGTGAGCACCGGCAGAAAGCGGCTGCCAGGTTTGCAGCTAAACACTTCCTCCAGTCCTGCTTTCAGGAGGGCAATATAATACCCCTCCAGCACTTCCGACAAATGTTCCCAGAAATCTCCCGATCCACATACTATGCCTGGAAACATGAGATGCAGAGCATGGTCAATGGTGATGCCTCTGCTCTGTCTGAGGCTCACAGGTTGCAGGAGCTTCACAGGGTTGTCTCAAAAAAAGCTGATGTGAATGAGCCAGCAAATCCACAGGGGGGCTTAAGATCCTCAAGTCCTTCCCTAGATCCCATTCAAGCAGGAATCTTTATGCAAGGAGCCAAATCCTACCTGGAAAAATGCATTTCCATGAACACTCTGGTGCCTTACAGGTGCTTCAAGCGCAGCTTCCCTGGCATCTCCAGGTCTACTTACTATAACTGGCGCAGAAAAGCAATCAAGGAGAACCCCAACTTCAAATACCCCCAGTCACCCTTGGATAACCAGAAAGCTCTAGCTACAGGAAAGTCATTCCTGCAGCTGAAACCAAGCAGTGTGCCTGTTAGGAAGAGACGGAATGGACACCGGCCAGCACCCAGGAGTCTCCTGCAGCTACAGCCTTCTTTGTGCTGGAGAAAGCAGCTGCGAGATGTGGCCAGGAGGCAGGTCCARCAGTGGCAGCTGCCATTCTGCAAGTACCGCCTGCGCTACCCATCTCTCTCCTCCACAGCCTACTGGTTTTGGAAGGGCAGTGGCCAGGCTGTTTGGCAGCATCGCCTGCCCTGGAGCAGCTCCAGCCAGYCATTGAACCGTGTGGCTTCCCTGGCACCTCCAAGAGCAGAACCAGGCCTCAAACCACAGTGCCATTTGGAGGTAGCCACCAAGCACATAGATAAGCCAGTGCCTGCCATGCCATGCAACACCACCATTTCAGGCTATGCCATGTCGGAGAGAGCCAACAGCCGGATGTTTGTGATGGATGTGATTGCCACTGCCCAGTTCAAGGCACAGGCCAAGCTGTTCCTGCAGCAGCGCTTTGAGTCAAAGACCTTCCCGACCTACAAAGAGTTCAGTGCCCGCTTCCCCCTCACAGCCCGTTCCACCTATTACATGTGGAAGCGTGCCCTGCATGATGGGCTGACATTGGTGGATGCYTGAGTGCCAGGTGCCAGCTGGCTTGGCCAAAGCTCCTCTGCTGATGTGCCCTTTGGCTCTCTGGTGGGGTGCCCAGGTTGGGGCCTCACTAATTTTTGTTCTGGTTTTGTTTTGTTCCTAGTCTCTGGCTTTCTTTTCTGTGTGGTTCTGTCAGGTRTGGGAGCATCCTCACAGTGCCTATTCCCAGAGGCTGGAGGAGTGGAAGGAGAAGGCATTGAGTGCCCCAAAGGAAAGGGGTCAGGTAATTTTCCTCTCTTTGTGCTCAGAGGATGAGCAAGGGAGGCAGTACTGTGCCAGTGTCATGGGATGCTGCTGTGAGATGGAGCATGTGAAAGTCTCTCTGCCCTAGGCAGTTGCTTGAACAAGTAACGTGGATGTGCAGGATGAGCATGGAGGTGCCCAGCATCTCCTCGGTGAGCAGAGTAGTACTGGCTCAGCTGTGAGTGAGGAGAGGTTTGGGGAATGCTCAGCTTTATGTAAGAAGCATCTTTCGTCTGGGTTTTATTCTCCCAGCTGAGGGGAATAAAAGCTTCACCTGGGGTCAATGAAGCTCTGGCTTTTAGTACCTGCCTCTGGCTGCCCTGATCTTTCCTAGATGGAGCAGAGGCTGGTAAATGAGGGGACTTCTGGCCTCACTGTAATCAGTATGCTGAAGATGCTAAGATAGAAGTCAGTGTCCTTTGCAGGCTCTGGAGAAGTTGTCCCTGACCTTTCAGGTCTTGTAGCAGTAACCTTTCACACAAACCTTTACTCTCTCAGCTGGCAGCTGCCTTACTTTTCTAGGGTCTCTCTTCCTTGATATCTAGGAAAATGCAGAGAGACTGAAGCTTATGTGCCCAGTGTCCCTGCATCCCCTGTGCTGTTCTGCAAGCAACATGGATGCATATATCTCACTTGTAAGAAACCAAAGCAATAAAGATTCTTCCACTCCTAGTTCTGTGCAGTTTATCACTCTTGCTGCATGATTTCTCAGCAAGGCTTTCCCCTCCATTCTGCATTCTAAAACTTGTGGGCAGGGAGAGCCTGTGCACAGCTCAATCCCCGCTCCTGAGAAGGTCCTTTCCTGGCTCCTGGTGGGGACTATATGCTGCTTGATGTCTCTTGTCTGAAGGCCTGACTGGAGCTATGCTCTCCCTGATAAGAGCCCAGGGCTTGGCTTATAGATCAGATGCAAGGCTGGAGATAACCCAGTGGGCACAGCTCTGTGTGACAGCAGGGATGCAGAGGTAATGTCTGAGATGTTGGTGGCCCTGCCCTCAAGTGGTGGTGCTGTACTGGGAGCCTGAAACCAGCTGTTTGCACCKGCCCTATGAGCATCTTGAGGCACAAGGCTGAGGAGGTCTCTGCCTGACTCCAAAAAGCCTCATCCCCTTAGTGTGTGAGCACTCCTGTGGTGTCTGTCATCGTGGCTGTGCAGGACTAAGCTGTAGGACATCTGGGGCTGGCTGGTAGCACTGAGGGTTGTGGTGACAAATGCAGTACCTGCTCTTGTTTCCCAGKAAGCTGTCAGAAGCCAGAATGACCTACAGATGTGGTGGGAGACCCTCCCATTTACAAGGTCAGCTTTTGAGGCTGGGTTGGCAGGACTGAGTCTTGTCTTACCCTCAGGCCTTTGACAGGGCATTAGGAGCTTTGGTGACCATGTTAAAAGGAGATGCCACAACTCATGTGCTTTGTCTGTCCCCAACCCATCCCCTTGCTCTGTCCTACCCCTGCCTTGCAGGCTTGCTTGCAAATAATTTGTTTTTCCTTAAGGTGTCTGGAACCTCTTGCTGCCTGCTGCAGCCCAGTCCTATCCTGATGTAGTCTGGCTTCACCCCCTGTGAGCCTCCTGGGCAGAGRGGCCCTATGCTGGAAAGTTCTGAGCTTTCTTTTGCAACAGCCTGCAGGAGAAAGGTGCTCAGGGTTGCCCTGGGGTAGGGCAGCTGTTGTGAACCAGCATMTGGGGTATCTCTTAAGAATACCCTCCCCACCATCCATCTACACCYGTGTGCCCTCTGTAGTCCCAGAGGAGGAGTTCTGGGGCACTCAGTGGGTGCTCTGGGAAGGGAGGCACATAAGGAGCAGGGAGCTGCCAAGCAGCGCTGTGTACTGCTGCAGAGAGCCCTGGGCTCTGTGTCAGGAAGTAATTGAAGTAATTAGCTGCCAGGGAGGACTAATCCATGAACTTCTCTAAGGGAGTGAGCTGTTAATTACTCCAGAAAGATTACCTACGTCTCCACACTGCTGGAGGCTGGAGATAGCTGCTTTCACAGCAGTGGTGACTGCAGCAGCAGCTGTGAAAATGGATGCAAGGCCCTCAGTGTTCCCTTCATGGCCTAAGCCAAAGGAAGCAGCAGGGATGGTGGATTTTCTGACAGTGGGTGCCAACATGGGCCCTATTTGGGTGGCCTTGAGGCTGGGGAAGACTATGCCTGATAGCAGGGCTGGGGCATCCATCAGTATGGCACAGCACAGTGGGTGGTGGTCAGCTGCTGSTGGGGGCAAGTGGGCGTCAGGAGAGCCTGAGGGGGCCTTTGTGGTGTTACCCAGTGCTCTGCAGGGTGAAGGAATAACTTGCCCTGCTTCACTCTCCCCGAACTGGGAGTGTTGCATGCATCACACCTGGGCAGTTGCAGAACGAATCTCTTTCTGGGTACTGGCCTTGGGCTCCAACCCCTTGCAAGACAATTTTTAGAGGTCCTGGTGAAGGGATCTGGTGTGTTGGTTTTTCTGCCCTTAGCTGGATGTTTGGGTGAGACATGGTGGGGAAAATATCACTCATCCCYGCCCTATGCATTGATGGCAGTGGGCCATGTTGGGCCACTGCCAGTTGGCACCACCTAAGTGGTGGGTGCTTGTTAGTTACTGATGTTGTTTGTGGCTGAGCAGAGCTTAAATGGAAGGGAAATTGTAGCACTTGATTTGTAACTGTCATGCTGCTCGTGTGCAGAGCTGGTGGTAGATGAGTTGAGGCAGCCTCTGCTGCTCCACATCTCACTGTCAGGCCCTGGATGGTGAATCTCTCCATTTGCACGTGGGCCGTGAGGTTTAGCTCAGGTTCCACCTAAACCCCCTCACAGACARCTACTTATTAATACTGACCTCAGAAAAGATGGAAATCAAAAGGTGACTGAAAAGCAGAGGCTGGGGGGCTGCAAAGCACATGGGGAGCACCCTTTCACTTACCTGTAATTTAGGGCTCTGCTCTGCCACTAAAGCATCCATTTGCATCCGTGGAAGAGGTGCATAAGGTGGGCACTGCAGTGCTGCAGAGCCTGCCCAAGTGCTCTGGGAATAGTTGATCGTGCCCAAGCAAATCTTTGGGGCGCTAAGTGGATACATGTTAGCTCAAACATGGCTTTGCCTCCACATTTTGCACAGGCAGCTGGCTTGTTGCTGCAAAGAGCAATAGTGTTGGTCAGAAAAGCACATCAAAGTAGTGACAGGGTTGCATTTCACAGGATAGCTCCTGTGCTTTGCTGGGATCATCAGAGTGGAGAAGTGGCAGCAGCAGGAAGACAGAGAAGCCAGAGCCACCATTCAAAACTACTCATGAGCTGACAAGCATGGCAGCAATTCATTGTCAAAATATCTCTGGGGGAGGGGAAAAAAAGATGAGAAAAAGAGGGAAAAAGGGATCTTTTTTATCAGTCCCCTGCAATAGTTCCCTCCATAGGTCCAGACTACAAGCAACTAGTGCTGCCAAGCCAGTTCAGTAGATCAAACAATCTTTTTCCTCCTGTGCCCCAGGGGTATTTGTGGGGAACCATCTGCCTCTGTCCAAGCAGGTTACACCAGGACTGCCAGGTCCTGTTTTCTGTTCTACCACCTGCTATACCTCCTTTGATTAAAATTCATCTCATGTACTGTGGCTGCAAATGTCTTCTGGAGTCCAGCTGTGGCCCATCACTGCCCTGCCATTATGCTTCAYGAATATTTTTTTGCTGAGCTAATTGCCCAAGCATCAAATCTGCCTTTTTCATGTCAGAGCAATGGCTCAGGCTTTTCCCTGGTTACTGCCAGCTGAGGACCTCCCCACCTGCTGCAGCAATTCCTGCTGGCAACCCCTCACGGCATTTCTCTGCATTTCATCCCATCTCTACCACTCCTGCYTTTGAGGTAACCCACTTTCTGTATTTCAAAACCCTCCTAATTTGTCTCTTTAGCAAATGACACTAAGGCACCCCTCTTTTCTATGCCAACTTGTTAGTGAAAGTATGGGAAATCAGTTCTCATATAGATCCTCAAGGATGTTTCCCTCCACCCCAACTGATCTTCTAAAATATCAACAGCCCATTAATACCTGTCTTTGCTTTCATGGACCAGCCCCTACCTGACAACTGTTGGTGTAGGTGGTTGCTGGTGTGGTTCCATCCCAGCAGTAGGCCCAAGGTCCAGATGCATTGTTCCCAGCCTTTTCTCTTCTAGAAAACAAGTCAGCTGATATGTAATGCTATTTTAGCACAGTCAACATCTGGAAAATACTGCAGTTTTGGAGAAAGTACTCAGATATGAAAGCACTTTAGGAAGGAAAACTTCTGTTTTTCTAGCTAATACTGTCAAGAGTTTGTTGCCTATGCCTAGATTTTGATATACTACTTGGAGCATGTCATTTCAGCAGATACTGCACTTATTTGCATTTAATTTCTCCTCCCCTGACATCTTCCTTTACTGCTTTTCCCATCACTTAAGTAAATGCAGTGGTGGGAAAGGTAGGAGAGCTGTGGTAGGATGGACAGCTCCTGCTAAACTCAGGTGCTTGAGAATAAAGTTATGTCCTTGTGGCACTTCTGTGACTGTGTGTTTTGACAGGGAGCCTGTGTGGGTGCCAGGAAGGACCCCTTGTCCCTCAGCTTTCTGTGCCAGGAGAAGACAGAACTCTGCACTCTGACTTCTGGGAGACACTATGAGGGATTGATCCTGCCTGACATTTCAATTAAGCAACAAGATTTATTTAAAAATGAAGACAGCAAATACTGAAAGGATTAAGAGCTGGTTAAGAATTGTGTCCCTAAAAGAAAAGAGGGAGCTATTGCAGAGTAGGGGTGTTTCTGCTGGGAATCTTTCAAAGGATGGCAACAAGCTCAGTGCAGCCCTACAGCCAGGAAAGCTCCTRAGCAGAAAGGGATGGAAGTAGGGTAGGATGGGGGTAGAAGAGAGGATCTTCCACCACTGCTCCCATCCCATTCTGCTCTCCGGCATGGCTGAAGGGACAGCACCAGCTTCTCTGCTGAGGGGAGATTGGCCTGAGGGGAGATCCTGCCTTTTGCGGGGGGAGACACAGGCCCTCTCCGGCCTAGGAACTCCTGTGATGGTACCTTCTGACACATATTAGTCTTGAGTCTCCAAAGCTTTTGAAGTATCATTAATGAAAATATTTAAATTGCATCCTTAGGATACACCTACTAAAGGGCACTGGTGGTCCTTCTGCAAAGGCCTCCCTTGCGTCTGAGATCCAGCCCAGACATCAACTAGGGCAAAACCAAGGTCAGCTCAGAGGAGGAGCACACCTGCAGATGYAGTCCCCAAATGTCCCAGTGCCTGGACACCACCAGGAAGGGGAACAGTGGGGAGGGGCTGTACTGGGATACAGTTCAGTGGCATCACAGCAAGCCCTGTGGGTCACCAGTGACCGTGGAGACAGCATATGCCTTGTCCCCAGCAAGGTGTCCCCACCTAGGGCTCTGTCCCCTCTTGACATAAGTTGTCCTCTTGCTGTGGGGACAGCTTGACCCCAGCAGTRTGCTCTGGCACATGTGGCTGCCGGAGGCTGTGGGAGAGTGAGCTGGTGCCTGTGCGTGTGGTGAGAGAAGAGGTAATGAAGCTCCCAATTTCCCAGCAGCTGACGCCTGCCTGAGTGATGGCTCTTAATTGGCTTCTCTCTGCAAAAATCCTCTCCTGCCAGCCCCAGGAGAGATGGCATTGCCACAGGCTGTGCCTCCCTATGCTCTCTCCACTGCATGGTGGTTTTGGTGACCAAAGAGGGAAAAGACAAACGAGGTGAAGAAATGCACTGCTAAATTATTTTTAAAGGTGTTTTTTTTTGTTTTTTTTCGTTTTCTTTTTGTTTTTTTTTTGCACAGAAATAAACATTTGCCCTGTCTCAGATAATTAGCTATTTCCTTACTGGATTACTGTGAAGGGAAAACACTGACTATGCTATTAAGTGAGCCAAAGGACTTGCTCTGCTTTTATTTCCCTGTGTCTCTTTTCTCACCATCCTCCAGAGGAGTGATCGGGACAAAATAAGGCATTTCTGCTCAACCAGCATGATTGCAATCCCATCCCACTGATGGATGATGGTCCAAGAGCAGGTGATGGCTTTGCCTTTGCAAGGGGCTTTGTCCTCCCAAGGACTGAAGGTGCTGGGAGTGCAGCAGTAAGGATGCCCCATTACTTCTCAGGTAGTTTCAACATCACCCACCTTTAGGCTGACCCCCAAGGAGGGGCAGGTTAGCTGGGGGTGTGTGGGAGGATCAGTGTCCTAGTGGGTCCCTTTGGCTGGGGACAGGGTCCCACAGGGGTCTTGAGTCCCCCACAAACTGCAGCAGTTTCTTTCCCCTTCTCCATCCTTTCACCTCATCCCTGTGGAAAGAGGAGTGAGATCCAGCATGGTCCCATCCCAGCATCCCCCATCACCACTTCCCAGCCCTTATTTGTAGCCAGTGGCCCTGTTTTGGCACACCACAGCACTTGCTGAGGGGTGAGCAGTGGGAGCAGAGCAGGCGATGGCTCAGATGTATTGATCACTCAGATCTGTGCTGAGGTGCTGGTCCTTTTTTCCTCAGCAGCTTTCTTCCTGGCTGCATTCCAGAAGGAGGCAGGATTCAAAGGCTACCCCCACCCTTGCCACAGGCTCTATCCACCCTGTCCTGAGCTCTTCTGCAGAGAAAGGCATGCAGGGACTGCTCACCTKATTGCTGTGCAGGTTATAGGAGGCAGAATCACCTATTCCACACCCTCTGGTAGGGTTTAGTTTAACATTTTTTTTAAGTTCAATCAAATTTCTGGGGCTTGAGCCTTCTGTGACTGCTGTGTCTTGTTGCCTTTTTGCTTCCTTCCCTTCTGCCTGGGCAGCTACAGCAGATGCTGTATGTCTATAATAAGTTATTCAGCAGTGATCATGCTTTTCCTCGGATTTCAATTTCCACAGGTTTCCCTTCAGGCTGTTTCCAACTAATTTTGCCATTTGCATAATGCCCCCCTTAGGGATGCTCTGGCACAGCCCCTTCTCCCCTGCTTTGACAAGTTCATCAGAGATTCAGGCTATTATCGGAAAACACTTTTAATTCCGTTGGCCCTTAACCCAGTCGTTTCCCACACATCCCCAATTAAAAAAAAAAAAAAAAAAAAAAGACAAAGAAGCAGTTTGGGGTTCAGAAGGATGGAATGCCCACAAGGAGTGAGCTGAGGACTGCTGGACACCCCCCCCCCCACTCATGGAAGCCTCTGGAGGGAACCAGATGGAAGAATTACAAATTCTTAAGTAAATGCAGTATCTTATTGTAGATTCTGGTCTAGCAGCCCAAATAACTTTGTCTGGACCACAATCAGCAGGGATACCCCCATCCCTGCCCCCAGCTGGGGGTTCTTGAAGGGGAGAGATGAGGACAGCTTTAGCTGGATAGCACCGAGAAGGGGTGTGGTGGGGCTGGTCACCTCTGCTGCAAATGCACCCAGATGTCCCCTCTCCTGAAATAATGCTCTTGCTTGGTGATTTGGAGGGATGGACATCCACGAAGACTGAGCACATGCAGGAGAGGGGAATGAAAACCATCACATGGGTGCTGTGCTTATTACTCCTCTTTAGGTCACCTCATCTCTTTTCGACATGCCAGCCCTTCCCTGAAAATTCTGCCTCTCTGTCTGCCATCAAAAGCAAGATCTACTTATTCCCTCCCAGTGTTTGTATTCTTCTGCCCCTTTTCAAGCACATTTTATTTTATGTTTCTAGTACACACAGATGCTCCACACAGAGCAAAAGAAGCCTACACCACCATCCTGTTGTCAGCAGTAGCTGCCCACTGTGATCTACATTGAATCTACTTCAAGATACCCAGACACCAGCTAGACTGTAATTTCTTTCAGGAACAGCATAAACTCCTCCAGGTTTAAGTGAGCGTGGCACTCTTGCAAAGCTCACCTCTTTCTTAGCCAGCTCCACATTCTTATAAACAGAGTCTTTTCTCCTGCTTTTTTTATTAGCTGTTCCATGTTAAAAAAACATAATGGGAACTTTCAGACCAGCTTCTATACAGGTCTCTGATGCACTTCTCTCTTTTRTGGCTCAAGTACAACAGCAATCGCAGACATTAACATGCTTCTTTAGGATGAAATGTACATTTGAATGGCATCCAGCTGGAGGAACATGCTGCATCTCTTGCAAAGCTGGCTGCAGCCTGCCCAGAAACTCTGGGAAGGGGGGGTGAGGGACACCCAGGGTCTGCCTGCAGTCTCCTGCACATGGGAGAAAGAGGCAACAGGGGAACCAGGGAGAGGAGGGATGGTGAAAGGTGGATGCTGGWGAGTGGGGGCTGAGGCATGGCTTCTTAATGCCAGCCCTTGGGGGCAACCATTGCCTTCACACCCATCTCTGAAGCATTTAACATGTTGCTGACAATATACAAATAAACAAAAGTAAGATGTATGGGGRGATGCTTGGCATTTCCTTGTCAGCAGAAGCTTTTGGATGGTAGGAGATACCCCTCCCCAAGGCATGGGAAGGAGTGTTGAGGTCACCCCGTATCTCAGGCTCCTTCCATGTCTCTTCCTTCTCAGGATCTCATTCCCTCACAAACAGCACTTCCACCCCAGACTSTGCAGGTTGTGTCTGCCTTTTCTTTCCTCTTTGCATCCCTCTTYGTGTGCAGGGCCCTGACCTAGTGCCAGGAGTGGAATCCTTCAGACTAGCACTCCTCCCAGSTCACTTCTTAGGTAGAGATTTCCATCACAAATCTTTTGAGGACCCAGCACACTGGGATGGCAACCTTAGGAGGGCTCTGACTTGGGATCCTAATGGCAGTCACTATTAACACAGAGAAAACTTTGCTGTCTTTACCAGCTTGCACCAACAATGGAGAGATGGTGTGCAACCACCAGCCTGCCTTCCTCCTTGTTTCTGATTTGGGATAGACCGGGAACTGGGATGTTCTCCTGTGGATCAGGGGTCTGTCTGCAGAGGGATGCAGAGAGCATGCCTCTTGGTCTTTTCCATGCTCTGTCCTCCCACTTCAGTGCAGCTGAGGGCTCAGGCCTCCCCATGACACTGAAGTGAGAGTGTTGTCCCCATCGCAGGAGTCCCCATCAGGACTCTGGCCTCCCAGAAGAAGCAGCAGTCATTTCCTGGCACCATATCCTCACTTCTCCCTGCGTGTGCCCTCCATGAGCCGAGCCTGGGCAAGCGATGGATCTCCCAGCTGCGGGGCTGAGAAGGGAAGCTGTGGCCCCRGGTCAGGGGTGGTCACACCAGCCCAGCAGCAGCATGCAGTTCCTCTCACGCACATCTTCCACCAGGCAAATGTGCTCCTCCTCATCCCAGTAGCCAGGCTGATGCTCAGTTCCCTGTTGTTAGATAGTCACACCCCACAGCCTCAGGGAGAACAGSGATCTACTGTTTGTCTGAAAGAGGAAAGAACCTGTACAGGACATCCATGCCAGGGTCCTGCTGTGCAAGCAGCCCTTGCAGGCACTGGTTCTCTGTGCTCCACAGGAAAGCTCAATCCCAGAAGGGTCAGCAGCCAGGGATGGCAGTGACATGCAGGTGGCAGCTACACGTGGCCCCCTTTTGAGAGATAAGCAATCAGTGCTACCACCACCCCGATGTACACTCCTGTGCCAATGGTTATGGAGAGCGCAGCAAGGAAGAGAGCTCGKCGGGAAGCTGAACTGGCCAGATGAAAATCTCCTTTGGAGACAGCCTTGCTGGTCTGGAAGGAGAAGAAATGCTTGTTGCTCACAGCTGTACCAACCTGGCCTTTTAACYAGCATGCAGTTGTTTCATTACTGAGTCATTGCTTCTTCTCTGGCCACTTAATCCCATGGAGGCTGGGAGCAGACAGTAAGGTGCCTGTCACCCTGGGAGGGATCAGAGCAGCAGTGCAACCTGCACACATTTCCCTGTGGATTTTGCCTCCAAAGGAAGCATGGGCTTCAGTCACTTGTCTGAAAGTACTCATCTGGGCACTCAGCCAGAGCTGTGAGTGGGTAGCTGGCCCTTGTAGGACCTCAGTGCATGGGGTGATGGCTGTGTAATACTGACCAGATATCAGTGCACCCTATACAGAGATGTAATGAGTACTACCTAGGCTCAGGCAGCTGATTCTGGATAGCATGGTCTGTTGGTCCAGCTGTGCTGCCACCTGATTTTTCCTGCATGGGGTTTTCAGTTGAAGCCTATTTGCTTTTGAAGGGCTGATGAAATCAGCAATAGAGACAGATCCCCATCTCTCTGGAAAAGGATGGCAACTTCCAGATTCTCTGAATGCCCAGGGCTTATTCCAAGCTGCTCTTGTTATTACTTACTACTTGAACTCAAGTTGCCAGATGGGCATCAGTGCACTGACTGTGCAAAGACAGCAAATAAAGATATAGTCYTTCCCTCAGTGAGTGAAAAAGGGGKTAGTTATAGCAARTGGATCTAGAYATAAATCGTCCCATGTATGTCATCACGCAGAGAGTGTGCTGTGCTATCTTACACTATGTGTGAAATCAGCRTTCCTTGGGGTCCTAATCAATTAATGCTTCCCCTGCCTCTCACCAGCTCTGTGCCAGGCACTCATGTAACATATTTTTCCATTTCTGTTTCTATCCTCTTGATTCTTTATCCTTTAACTTCTTAATGTCTCCCCCCATCTATTCTTGGTACAGCAGCATCTATGCAAATGTGGACTAAATCCCCTGGCTCTGCATGAATTATTCTGGGTCAACATCACTGTAAGTGAGCCCAGGCTCTGGGCTAAGACCTCAAGAAAGCAGCAGCTCCTCTGAGGTGCTGCAGCCTGAGGGCCATCACCCTCTCTGGCCTCTGCCAGCCTGGCATTGGCTCCCACAGGTCAGACACAAGTGCAAAAGAGGAGCTGTAGTGTAATGTGGAAACAGGCTCCCCTTTGCATCCAGCCTCCAGAGCCGCCAGGTTCCTGTGGCATGAGCTGCCTCAGTCTGGGTCATGGTGTAGAACCTTCACATTACTGGAGAATGGGAGGTGGAAAAATACCATTTTCCTAAACRTGGTTGGAAGGTGAGAAGCTGAGCAAGGGGCCAAGAGGAGTCCCACTTCCCTAAATAACATCCAAAAAACCCAAAGGAAAAGCCTGACCTCCAGTAACCCACATCAGAACTGGGAGGGCTTGCAACCCCACAACAATTATGGAGACATCCAGGAACACCCTTTGTCTCAGCCCTCAGAGTTAGGGCCATGGCACAGAGACGAGCCATAGCTTCAGGAAGGTGCTGGTCACTTTCAGGGCTGCTGCGGCTTTCAGAGCCCTTGCTCTAGCACTTGGCACATGCAGGCAAGCAAATGGATTCCTTACCCCTTGGGAGAAGTAGAAGGCAGCAATGCCCAGGGGCCAGAAGCAACACAGCATGGAGAAAAGGGCCAAGCCCAGGTGGTCCCGGGGGGGAAGCATCAGGAAATGATCCTCACTTTCACTGTCGCTGGAGGAGTCGCTCTGCAAAAACCAGATGGATTCAGCACATGCCCACCTCCCCRTGCTGCTCTGCAGGCTGCATCTCAGCACCTCGCCTCCCAGCTCCCACTCTCTCCTGGTCCCATCACATACTCTCATACAATTCCCACTGACACATTCAAGGAGTAAATTTCAAAAATATTTTAGACTCTTCAGCATGGTTTGATGAGGAACAATGTAGCTCAGCAAATTCAAGATGGAATGGATTCTCGGCTCCCTGCCAGAGCAAATGCTGAGCTCATTTGCTGGGGGTCTGGGATTTCCCTGCATTAGAGAGAGTCTTAAACTGAAATATCTTCAGATTTGGCAGAACTGACTGTTTGTCAGCTTAAACAAAGTTAAACAAAGTGACTTATCCCCATTAGAGACAAGGAGATCAATATCCTGCTAAACTAATTTAGGAAGTGAGAGAAAGCATTTGAAGTGGAGCCCACATTGCAGGGGCAGCATACCCTGTCCCCTTAGTGAGTCATTGCTTGGTGGCTGTGATGAACCCTCTTGACTTTGGGCACCACTTGGCCAGCCTCAGACCGCCCTGCAAGTAATGTGTCTTGGTGAGGAAGGCATGAAAAGGTGGGAACATCCCTGCTGCCATCCAAACATCACCAACACCAAAAGCAGGAGAGCTGTGCTGGGTCATCAGCCATTAGCTCCAGTGAGCTCTGGGGGGGACCCTTGCCTACCTTTCAAGGTCCTGGATGATGTTCCCAGCCTCAGCACCACTGTTCAAGCCATAGTGGGGCACAGCACAGYAGTGAGGCTGCTTTGTCAGCTCTCATTCTTCCTGTGCAGGATTCATCCTGTCTTTGTATACATAGAGCTTTTTTCAGCTGCTGCCATCAGGCATGTGAATTTTGCTGTTATGCAGGAATTGTTTCTCTTTAGCTCAAGTGCCACAGCAGCGGCAGGCTGCCCTTGCCGAAGCATCCTCATTTCCTAAGGGTCCTGCAGAGACCCACCTCCCTTTTGCTCTCAGCAGCAGGCAGCCAGGCTGCTCTTAGTGAAACTGACCCCCTTCTGAGGTTGGCAGTAAGGAAAAAGGAGCAGAAATTATAAGAAGGAAGAAGAAATACTGGGTGCACAGGGAGGTTGGTGAGGCAGGAGATGGTAGGATTTGGGAGGGACTTCTGGTAAATAAGGGAGAATAAATAATCAAGAATTTGAGCCGATGTTCAAAAAGAATGACCACAGGAGTTTGGTGCCATCCCACCTGTCCAACCTCACCTCATACTCCTGGAGTTCTTCCTCCACCTCGTAGGATACAGTTTGGATGCGGATGTCGCTCTCTACCAGGCAGGACCCTTGTGCTTCATGCCCTTCAGGAGCTTCAGATGGAGCCTCTTTGCTTTCTGTAAAAGTGGTCTCACAGCTTTCCATCTTGCTGTCCTTGGCCTTGAGAGCAGTCTCATCCTTCACAAGGATRAAACTGGGGCCATACAAAGCTTCAACAGCCAGCTGCAGGGAACTGGCATCCAGCAGCTGGTGAGTCCTGGCACCASCAGTGTTTTGGAATATGTAGGAATACAGTTTCCCTTGGCAGCGATGACTGGGGTAGTCCTGGCTGTGATGCTGGTGGTAAGAATAGCTGCTGCGAAGGTGTCCATTGGATTTGGCCAAGAGTGGGTTCTGGAGCTCACGCACGCTTTCCATGCTGCCAGTGGTGGTGGTGRTGGTGAGATCCTGCAGGAGCAGAGGAGGTGGGAGGGAGTAGACTGTTATTTCAGCAAGGCAAGGGAGCAGAAAAGCCTCTTGCCCATGCACAGCCAGTGTTGAGACGAGGCTAATGGGAGCAGAAATGTTTGGCAATACYGGAGAAAACCAGACCCCTCCCCACCTCTGCACAACCTGAATGTTATCTCCCCAGCTGGTAGCAAGATAAGGATGCAGCCCTGCGACAAGGTTATCTGATTCAGGCTGGATTAGGATGAGGATTTGCTGTATCTATAATGCATCTTGAGCAGGCCATGTGCAACCTGAYAGGAAAGAACCTAAAGCATCTTTTCTGCTGGTTCCTACTGTGAACTGTGACAAAGTGTAGCAGATAACAGAAGTAGATAAGAGACTGACAATCACTCCAGGGGCCTCCCTGACCTCCCGAATTAGAGGGCTGCAYGGTGAATTACATCCCTCTGGACATTACACATACACCTAACTGGCTTTCAAGTGCACAGAAAGTTCTCTAGCACTCATTCAAGGCTTGAGTGGGACTGAGGCAAGTGCATTGAACTACCAAGGAAAGCCAGCRGGCTGCTGTGAGGACATGGAGGTGATGTTTAGGCTGGGGTGGGAGTGTTGCATGCTCAGCCAGATGTGAGGAGGAATGRAAAGATGTGGAGATTAAAGAGAAGACTCTGTGGGGTTTGGTCTGCTTTGAAATGATGAAATTTTAAGAAAACGATCACATCAAAGCGCTGTTTAAACCAGCTCCACCCCTGGGTACAGCAGCAGCCGGACAGCCTTGGCTCTGGGCCACCAGCTTCAGAAAATGCTGAGTCCAAGTGGGATCCTCAGCTAAAAATGTCAACATGGGTTTCTTCCTCAGGGAAATTCAACTCTCTCTCCCTTCCTCCATTTCAGAGTGCTGAAACCTTGTGCTGCTCTTTTTTTTTTCTTCCCCATGAAAATTTCTGAGATGAAGTATTTCCACCCCTTTCCTTCAGAGGAGCRTTTGCTATTTTGGCTTCCCAACACACTTTGGCACAAAGAAAAAGTGCAGTGAAATATCAGCGTTCCCCAGGAGAGAGAAACAATTACTTTGTGCTCTTCACTACCTGAGCCCCAGGTTTTACAGCCTCACTACCATTTTCCCAACTCCCAGACCGTGCCACTTTATTGCCTTGCAAACCCAAATGTTCCTGTCCTCTTTGAAGACCTTGGTCACTGACTCCTCTGCAGAACTGACTCCTCCTGTAGCAGGTCATGCTTCCTCCTGCTATAAAAATCCCTGAGGTGCACTAGGTTTTCTGATAGACAGCACATCATCTTTGATTTAAATCTCAAGAAAGAAATATAAATAAAGAAACTGAAGACTTTAGAGAGTGAAAAGTCCAAGTGGTCTTGTTTCCTTGGCCAAACTCTGCCACACCATGCAGATTTGGGAGCCTTGCATGGTTTTAAATAGACCTGTGCATTGGCTTTGTTCTGGCAGTGGTCATCATATTTTGGAAATCTGCTCAGGAAAATGGAACTGTTCAAAAGCCCTCTTGTGCTGCTAAAACTCTGTGAATTTTGGTGAATGCCCTGCACTTCTCCCTTCTGAAAACCATTCCCTGCCTTCTGYAGTCTCCCACCTTACTAATGAAGCCTGTAATGGCTCATGCAGCARATGACAGTTATGTAGTTTCAAAATATTTAATGGAGATGTATATTTGTAGCAAAGATGGTTTTATTTCCTGCACAGACACAAAGAAGCCAAACTTTCAAYCCAGTTTTTTTTGCTTACCTTAATATCCCGATCAGATTTCTAATAAAATATCTTACTTTTTAACAAAACAGTAAGGAGAGACCAGTCACCAAGTATCATTTGAGAGCAGCAACTGAAGAAGAAGCAGAAGCCCAGCTCCAGTGAGAGGAAGTTGGCAGTTTTGGTATAGCATTCATGCCTCATCTCAAGAAATTMTTCTGGCAGCAAGCAAGGGTAGGAAGGAATGGGATCTTGCAGGGAACTGCTGACAGGAGCCACWGGAGCCAGTTCCAAATGTGTTGAGAAACAGCAGCAGATGAACTGCAGGCAGGCCACTGGGCAGCAGGTGCTGCATGTGTGGAAGTTGCTGTGCTTCTTACTTTGGGTCTTCAGCAACAGGTTGGAGGAAGCAGAGCTGCACAGAAAAGCCTTACTTTCACAGCAGCAAGCGCTGGGAAACAGAGCGTGGGAGGGGGAAGAAGGGAAAGGAGCTGGGAAGAATTGGAAACCTAAAAGGCAGTTTGGGAGGTGCCAGGCAACCAATGTGGGAAGAGCGCATTCATGCAACTGGACRGCTCCTGGATGTGGACTCCGTTGAGTCCCAAAGGATGCTAAGGGGCTGGGCTATGGGGAAAAGGTGGGGAGGGCTTGCAGGTAGCAAACATCCTAGGGTGAACATGCCTTGGAAGAGYAACAGTGGGAGTAGCAAAAGAAATCACAGGAAAAACTGCTGAAGTATGGGAAAGTCTGTGAATGTGAGCTGGGCAGGGGTGAGGCTTCATCCCAGGGGAGCAGGGAGAGCCCAAACCTCTCTGGTCCTCAAACTGTCCTGGAGCTGTCCATRGAGCAGAGCCAGGATCTTGGAGCTACTCCACAAAGCATGGACAGGGCAGGGTTACAGCTACAAGGATTTACTGTGTGCTAGTCTTGTACCCTCTGGAATTACCAGAGGGTAATTACCAGAGGGTAATCTTACCTCTGGAAGATTTACCTGTACTAAACTCTCTTTTCCTTGCTGCCTTCCACTCTTGGGATGTGGGGCTGARGCTCTTCCTGGGAGCAGGATGTGGCACTAACAGATCTCCAGGAATGAGAGGAAAAGTGGAGAAGAAAATCTCACTGTGCTTCTGATAAATAAGCAAAGGAGCCACCAACGGCAGCGTTAGTGTCCAGTCCTGGCATTTGTCAGCAGTGGAGAGGGGACGAGGGGCATTGTCACAACATGGTTACAGCAGTATGCTCAGCCCTGCTGGAAAGCAGCCAGGCTGAAACCTTCCTCTCCAATAACTGATGTGAAGAGTCCCAGTACCAGAGGGATTAAAGATGCTTCCCACTCCTTAGTCACAAGATCAGCACATTGCATAGAGCCCATGCACCAAATGGTCTGGGTTTGCAAATGGAGACAAGAACCATCAAGCTAGAGATGACAGAGATGGAGTGGCAGAGAGGGTGAAGATCAGCCCTGCATGCACATGAGCAGAGAAGGAGAGAGTCAGAGCAGCCCTGCAGTTGTTCCCAAACCCCATTTGGATCCTACAGTGAATTTAGCCACACAGGGACATAATGAAAGATGCCTAGTAATAAAGTAAGCCTGATGATAAGGAAAGYGTATTAATAATCAAGCTTAGAGAAAGAGGAATTAAGTCAGAAAATGAAAACAAGAAAACAGTAAAAGACAAAATTGTCAAAGAGTGGCCATTCTCTGTCCTGATTACCAGCAAAACTAGAGAGCATGCATATCCATCAGCCCCACAGCACTAGTCTGAGCAGTACTGGCTGCAGGTGATGGTGGTGAGATGTTGCTAGATGCACACAGAGGAGGCACACACCCAGACGTGCTGCTAAGTGCACAGGGAGGATGCACACATACATGCATACATGCACAATGTAAGCCCAGAGGGAGGGCACACCTGGAAAGGGGCAGATTTTGGTGCCCTGGTTGAGATGAACCGCTGCTGCAGTTCTACTGCTACCTGATAGCTGSTGGCTCACCACTCGACTGCCTCCCCCCGTGCACGGCTGCTCCTGTAACCAGCTGGCAGAACAGGGCTCCCCACACTCCCCAGTTGCAGCAGTCCCCAGCAGAGTGGGAAATGCACAGCTGCGTTGTGTACTCTCAGCTTCTCAAAGGGAATACTGGGTAAAAGGAGCCAAAACAAGGCATGAAAATAAAGAGGTAGAAAATGTCACTTTGTGTTTCACAGATTTCACCCCCACACCACATCCCCTGAGGCAGTTCTCACAGGGACCCTTGGCACAGATGCCAGCTGTGATAAGCCAGTTAATGACGAATTAAGTAGCTGTTCCAGGAATCAATCATCATTTAATTGTCCTGTCAAGCAAACACTCTGCCTTGCTTCCCGGGCTCATTAGCAGGTTGTGGCTGTGATGCAGGTCCCCAGACTCCTGAGTTAGAAGGTTAGCCCACCCTGGCTGAAGGCCTTCCCCTTCAGGACAGCACCGCAGCAGCCTGGAGCCCTCAGGCAGAGGTGTTCCGCTGCACTGCCATGCCCTGGCAGATCCGAGGGCAGGGGACAGTGTGAATGCCTGTTGCTGATCCAGCTGATGTCAAGCAGCACCATGGCCAGGTACAGCTGCCGTAGGCCCAGGACAGATGTGGACCCACTCCTGATGGAAGAAGAAAGCRTAGGAGATTTGTCTAACACTTGTCCCTAAGCCCAGACCTTCCTAGAAGCTCTCAGGAGGTGCTCTGGATCTTGTAAACAGAGACCCAAGTTCTGTCAGGACACAGTACSTCTGCCTCTGGACATACAAGCTTGTGATTTGCCCAAGAGAAAACCAGCACRCAAAGGCTGCTGAGAAGCAAAGTTKCCCAGCAACTGCATTGCCTGGGCAGTTGTCATTTTGGAGAGGGAATATGGGGGCTGAAGGAAGGGCTGTCAAAGCTCCTGGGCAGTGTGTCTGGCAGGAGTGGAGCAAGCCCCTCTCAGCCACAGGAGCCCACACAGCAGCATGGAAACTTGGCATGTCTCAGCCCTGAGCCCTGCAGGGTGAACCACAGCTCACGGGGAGAAGGAAGTGCTTACATCAGTCCCACAGACATGACTGCAGAAAGCAGTTTGGCCAACACTCAAGCCCTCCCATGGGTGTCATCTCCACATCGCTGCTCCTGTCTTGGGCACAGCACCAGCATGCAGATTGAGGAGCTGTTAATCCCCGGGGCACAACAAAGGCTTCACCAGTCCTGGGAAAGGTTGCTTTGGCAGGAGTATCAGGTAAGGTGGCCTGGGAGTTGGAAAGGGCAGTGGGGTGATGAAAGGGAAGCAGCTCTCTGTGTGGGCCAGGACAGGAGGGTGGGTCCCAGTGGGGCTGTCAGAGATGGTACACAGAGAAATGAAAGAGCACAGTGGGGGCAGCAAGTGGGAAGGGAAATGGTGGGCAAGAAACATGGGACAGATGAAGAGAAGCGAGATCTAGGCCAGACAAAGAGCTGAACCCTGGCTACCGACATGAAGAAAAGGACTGTGAAGCTGTCCTTCACAGCTGTGAAGCTGATGGAAGGGATGGAAGTTGGT